TAAATATGCTTTTTTCAAATATTTTTACTATTAGCAATCGTTAAGTGCGCCATAATACCCATGGTTCCCTTACGTAATTCAGCATCATCTGCACTTTTACGTCACTGTTACCAAACATACTATATAAACATTGAAATTCTCCAGACAATAAATTCTACCCTAAAATTATAATCTTATTAATTGCTACCAATTGTAGTGAAGTTGCAACTTTTTAGTAGCACTGACGTGAGTAGTAACACTAGTCGTATTCAGAAATTGCAACACTTATGTAGTATTGACGTAGGCCATAACTCTATAGCATTAAAGACTCTTGAAACACTATGATGTAGTCCTAACTCGTTACGATATAGCTTATTTTTATCATAACTTAATATATGGAAAAACATAACATTTAAGATAGTGTCAAATGATTGATTTATCATACAATAATTACACAATTATTGTTTAAAGTAATCACATGGCTAAAGAACCGAAAACGGATCCAAATTAGTTATATTATAATAAAGAAAAACACGCTTCGCATAATTTTAATATTATAAGTTTCTCCTATTTTTGTAACTATATGACACGTGATATACAACGTATATTATATCAAACAGCATTGCCTTATTTAAGTCACAATAATACAGTATTATTACATGCCGTGACGTGTTCTGGGATGTAACTTGTTTAAATATACCTGTATCGCTAAATCTTTTCAAATTATCAAATAAATTACATTCCGTTCTTACAACATGAATACAGTACCTCCAATAAATGATTCAATTTTAAATTCAATCTTAAATTCTGGTACAAATAAAAGACAACGTACTAGAAAAGAGCAAGAGAATAATGCTTTTATCAATACCATGTCTATTGATAATCCAACAAAGAAAGTGTATCCAGGAGATTTTAAGTCGGAACTATGTGTTATTCCAAAAGTTCTCAATGCAACAGTTCATCCTCTTGTATCTTCTTTTTTCGGTTTAGGAAATGATCAAATTATTACCAGATATAAAAATTTAAATCCCAAAATTGATGTAAATGTTTTGAGAAATTGTTTAGAGTATCAACCAAAATTTTGTAAATGGGCAGGTAACTACTTCGATTTATGTTAAATGTATATTACGAATTATTTTTTTTTGGATTTAATTATTAATATAGTAAATAATATATATTTTCTATATTACTTTCTTAGCCTCTGATTTCTTCCATGTAATTGATTCAAATGGTAAACGACAAATGGTTATTGTTGAAACCGGTTCAAGTCCAGCAGGACAAGGTGCAATGCCTTTGTTAGATAAAAGACCTAATGGATATAAGTTCGTAGCACAAACAGCATTTAGACAAGCTCTAAAAGAAGCCGATCCCTCTCTTGGAGAGCTTGCTATATTGTGTGATGTGGCTAGCCATGAAGCAGACTTAACCGGGTTTGCGGCTGCAATCTCTGAAGAAACTAATGAACATGTTTGGATTGTAATGATTTACGATGTTGCTAAATATGATCAACTTCTTAAATGGGAGAATAAAGTTCTGTATATCAAAGATCAAGATGAAGGTTATTATCAAACAATTACTAATTATAATATCAAAATTTACCAGATTAAGATTTATTATTAATTGTTTTTCATAATTAGTTTGGCACCCTATTAGAGCATGTTTTAATCGTATAGTTTATAAACCTTGGGCTTATTTTCCTCTAAAATCTAAGACAGTAGTCTTTAATGATATGATCTCATGCTTAGCTGGAGGTCAAAACAAAATTATGGCAGCAAAATCATTTGAATTATTTAATACTGAACTTTCTGGAAGTGGGCTTGCTATTCGTTTTCCAAGAACCGTATGCAATGTAAACAAGAGCGAAATTTCTTCATGTATCGAAAAGATGGGTGGTCATGTGGTGATTAAATCTCCCTATGGCGCTTGTGGTAAATATTTTCTTTACATAATTGATTATTATAGTTTAGATTGCAAATACTGAAATATCACGGATCTAATTATCTTTTACAAAATTAGGGGATGGTGTTTACACAATCACTAATTCAGAAGAATTAAAAGAATTCCTTGATGCTAAGCATCATTACCAAAAATTTATTGTACAATCTCTTGTTGAAAGTGCATTATGGTCTACAGAATTATGCCCTGGAAAATTCTACCAAATTGGTACTATGCCAAATTGTCATAATCAAACTTTTTTTTTTGACTTGAGAATAATAGTGACTACCGATGAGACAGGATTTCATCCTGTGACTATTGCTTCACGACGTGCTCGTGAGCCACTACCCATTTATCTACCAAATAATTCTAATTGTAAGTTAATAATTAATAGATAACCTATGTGGGTTATATATATAGATGCATGTCTAAAATCTGTTC